CTGCCTCCGCCAGAGGGGGGGGGAGCGAATCGGGCCCCAGTGCAGGGAGCCAGGCAGCTCTTCAGAGGGGAAGTCCCCCTCTTCCCCCCTTTCTAGCAGCCTCCCATCTCCGGCCACCTACGGGCGTTTCTGATGCCCTCCGGAGCACGCCCACGACAGCCAGGTGCCTCCCCCTCCCCAAGTCCGTGGGTCCCCATGCCCCACGCACGCCCCCCTACCCGCTTCTCCGTTTCCCAGGGGTCCATCACCAGCAGCGTGGTCTCCTCCCCGTCCACCGACAGGGTGCGTTCATACACCACCTCTGAAACAAGCCAGATGTCCCGGCGTTTCTGATGCCCTCCGGAGCACGCCCACGACAGCCAGGTGCCTCCCCCTCCCCAAGTCCGTGGGTCCCCATGCCCCACGCACGCCCCCCTACCCGCTTCTCCGTTTCCCAGGGGTCCATCACCAGCAGCGTGGTCTCCTCCCCGTCCACCGACAGGGTGCGTTCATACACCACCTCTGAAACAAGCCAGATGTCCCCTGGTCAGCCAGACGCCACATGCCCAGAGGGGCTGCCAGCCCGGGCCCAGGGGGGCTGAGCCCCACCGGGGCAGAGTCTGCCGGCTGCCCCCCCGGTGGGATTAAACGCAGGGCAGGGCAAACACAAGGCATTAAAGCCACAAACCAGCCGCCTCCAGGGAAAGGGGTGGGGAAGAGACGAGGCCCAGCTGCCCTGGCGGGAGCCTGGCTGCTCTCCTGCCTCGGGCACTCGGAAGGAGGGGGAGGGCACTGGGGTTTCTCATGGCACTTCCCTGGTTCAGGGCTGGCCCGCTCCACTCTGGCAGGCTGTTTTTCGACTCGTGGGGAGGCTAAAAGGCACCGAGGCACCAGCGAGCAGCAGGACCCAGGCACGTCAGTACCACGTCCCCCGACGTTTCCATCTCACGGCCACTGAAATCCACTGCTAAGGGGTGGTTCTCAGCTGACTTGCGGGAACCACTGGGTCCTGCTAACTCCTCCCTGCCCAGCCACCGAGCTACCTGGGCGCAGCTCCCCAGGGCGGTGCACTCACTGCTAAGAAACAGCTCTGCCCGGCCCCCAAGCAGTCCGGGCGGCCTCTCTGCTGGGCCCCTTTGGTTGGGTTTCCACAGGGCGTCTGCAGGCTGTGCCCGCTGCCCACCGCTCAGCCTTGGCCCCGCAGTGCCCAGGAACGACGCCCCCGCTGCTT